TTAATATTGTATTATTTTTCAACATAGGCTGGCAAATAATTTTGATTTCATGGACCCCTGACAGGGTCTTGGGCAACCCCCAGGGGTCCTAGGACTACACTTTAAGAAACACTGCAATATACTATTCTTCAGCTTCAGAAGGTATTGCTGTACTGAAGCAAATATCTTTAGTAAATTATCTTCTTGCATAGTAAACCTAAACAAAACTTTGATATAGAGGGACAGTTGATTCCAAGCACCATATGCTGCAGAGAAACCCTTAAGCAATTTGTATTTGTGTGAAAAGGAGGGATAAGATGGGAAAAAACATAGGTGCACAAGTTTTTTCAGGTTTAGCTTAGGACCATACTTGGTTTTTGAGTGGCATGCCAGGGGCTGCACTCCAAAATAGCAGCAAGGCCAGAAGAACAGGCAAAGAAAGGCACCAACTTTCTACCCTGCTATATTCTTGTTCAATTCTGTAGTTCTCATAACAGCATATAAAGTCAGTGTCATGTAACAGTCATAGTAAAGTTGTTATATACAAATCTTTAATAGGAGTATTCTTATTGGATCCAAAGGAAGCTACTGTTGGGGCTCTCAACACTAAAGAGAAATCCTGGAAAATCCAACAATTGGTAACAGGAAGAAAAATTAATTTGGCCCCTCGAAGAATACTTTTAACATAAGGATTCACAAGGATCAGGTGCCTCTGCTCATCCCAAAATACAGATCTAAGAGTAATCGCCTGCCTCCACAATGTGTTGTCCTTCACTCTGCTGTCCAGGTCCACCTGAAGGAAAGCTAAGAGTTGGGCAAGTCCTGCTTCTGTTGGAGACAACTTCCCCCTGCATCAACAAAGAAAAGCTCTTTGTGTCAACTTATAAATGTGAATCAAGCTTGGTCACCTAGCCACTAAGATGGTCTCTATTAATGCTTTGGGAACAACTGCTTCTATGAGCTGCCCCTATTCAAGTTGCAGGTGGTGATATGAAGCCACCCTGGGTCTGGATGCAGGATAGGAGTCTGGCCGCTCTAGAAGATGCCAGATGCTCAATGCTCATCTCTGACAAGGTCTCCTGGGTCAAAACGAAGCAATGATTATTCCTCTTGCGCCTTCTTTGCTACCTTGTGCGTCATTCTTGATAAAACTGAGAAAAGTGGGAATGCATATAGTAGCTTATGCAGCCAAGGAGCAACAAGAGCATCAGCCCCTTCTCCCTCACATCATGGAAATGAAGGAATCACCAGGTCATCCTCCTGTTCTGTTCTCCCTTGTTGTAGAGAGGTCAACCCAAAGGATGTCCACAAATCTGTGATTGTCTACAACACCCCTGAGTGCAATGTCTACTCTGCCTGGGGCATAGAATGTCTTCTAAACATCGCTAAGGAGGCAGGATGTCTTTCTGCCCAGAGAAACAGGTGAGACACCTCCATTGCAGCCACTTTCATCTCATTCCCCTTCCCCTGATTGTTCAGGTACATTTTTGTGAGGAGACTGTCAAACCAAAATCAGAATGTGGTGCCTTTCTATCAGTGGCATGACAGCTTCTAACACTTGTCACACTGCCCTCATTTCCAAGTTGAGGGAAAGCCATGGCTCCTCCCAGACCAGGTCTTCTGAGACAAATAGTTGATTCGAATTCCAGCTCAATAGGCTGGCGTCCCTGTTGATTAGGTCCTGCAGGATTCTCTGAAGATCACCCTCCTGGACAGGATGACTGACTCAAAACCACCAATGGTGGGAGTTAATCACTGTGCTTGGGACCTTCAGAACTAAGCATATCTTTTAGGCAATCTGCTCCTGTAATGCAAGTAGAAACCACTGTAACAATCTTGTAAGTAGTTGTGGCTTAAGGCTTCTTTTCTATTTTAAATGTATACCCAGTGTCATTTCTATCTTGTGCCAATACCTGTCTAGGATGTGGAAGTCCTTAGTTGGGTTGGATACACTGTTCAGCACTTGTAGGGTTAATATGAATTTACTTAAAGACTTGAGAAAAATGCTCAAGATTTCTTATTGTTAATAATAATAATAATAATAATAATAATAATAATAATAATAATATATAATAAAAGTATACTGACAAAAAAATAAAAATTTAACAACAGTAGCTTCTTATGCTTGTACTGACAAAGTTTTGAGTAATTCATCTAAAATTAAGAAGTAATCGGGGATCTGTAAAGCGGCAAACCTTGCATTTATTTCCATATTCTGAATAAACATGAAGATAACGATGAAAATGAAATTCACCACCGAACTAATATTTTTAATTTCTTATGCTCACTTTATTGAAATTGCCTATTTTTAATTTTTAATTGTACTGAAGCTAATTCAGTTCTTCATAACTTTAAAACTATTATCTGCTTGCTTTGAAATAAGATTGATCCATTTTTTAATTAAAATTAATTAACAAAACCTAACTAAATAATTTGTTTTATATATCATATTTTGGAAGCATACAAAATATTTCATCTTGAACCACTTCAACCATAAACATTTTTTAGTTCAAACTGCTGTTTTGAACTCAGGATACACTGTCATACTTGAAACAGAGCTATTCTATGCTCAGACCTTTTCCAAGATTCTCAAAATGAACTATTTCACACTCAAAATGGGAATTTTCACAAAGTTTTATATTTGAAATGAAACATTTTGCACACTGTGTAGCTTCTAAAAATGAAATCTACATCTTAGAGCACTAAAGAGTATTCAGATTATATCAAACAAGCATACACTTTTACTAGAAATAATTATTACAGAATTTCTTTGACTAGCAAATACATTTTGATTTAAATCGTTAAACTGAAACTTTCTGGGAAATGACTTAATCAAATCCTCTCTGCAGGCATTCTCAGTATTCTAATTCAACCAACAGTCCACTTAAGTTTACCATCATTAGGGTTTCAGTTTCTTAGTATTGTGGTCAAAGACCAATAATATACAAACACAAAAATTACTAAAAATAAGACAATAAAAATATTAATACACATCAGTCACCTCAATACTCTACAGGCCAAAAAAAACCCAGTATTTGCTATATTTAACAAATATAACAAGATTACATCTTATCTGACGTAAGATATTGGAGACAGAATGAAACTGAAAGCCCTGGAAATTTAACTATTAATGGATGGATGGATGGATGCATGGATGGAAAGATAGATGCAGATATGCTTACATTATCTGCAATATTATACACAATATAAAAAATGAGCTTCAGTTCCACAAGGTTCATCCCACATAAACAAATCTGATCTTCATATGGGATTTTCTTATATTTCCCTTCCAGTACATATGTTGCTATCACATTGAAGTATACTAACAACATAGCTGTCCTGTATTCTGTTATTTCAATTTGACTTAAAATATTTAGTTGCATGAACTAATAGATTGGCTGCTGAGATGAATCCTTCCTGGCAGTTAAGTTTGTACTTCTTGCACTTCTTTATCTAAGGCTGCCTTAGCTCTGAGTTGGCCTATTTATTACAAATAAAACAAACAGTTCTATAATTCAGATGTCTGCTGGAATAGCACAACCTCTCTGGAAAAAGAAAATAAAGGATACAGCTACTGAACGGCTTAGTAAGCTAAATAACTTATCAATACTTACTATATTCAACCTTCTTTTTCCTCTTCTTATCTTTTAGTTTCATTTTTTCTTGCTCATCTTTTGCTGTTACATCTGTTTGTTGTTCCTGGTTTCTTTCATGATATAATCTATGCTTCCCATGCAAAGGCTTTTCCTGGATCTTTTTGTGCTTAACTAAGACTACTTTTCTTTTCAGGCAAGTACATCCAAACATGCAATCTGGTTTGCGGCAGTGCACTGGCTGACGTTTTTCAAGAGCCAAACTAGAACAGACACACCCAAGCCGACAAAAATCATTGTTGCATGGTGGTGCTTTCTTTTTTATTATTTTGTGAATAGGTTTGTTTTTGAGTGAAGCCTGAAAAAATGTTAATACATACTTTAGTTATATATTCAGACAAGTATTTGCAAAGCCACACATAAAAAGCAAATGTCATAATGTAGCTTACAGTATTACTGACAAAGAATTCTATATAACAAGCTAGATTCAGAATCCAGTGGTGCTTAATCTACTGCAGAAAAACAGCATTACAATACTGACATGTTTACTTCAACAAACTAAAATACCTACCCTGAATATTAAAATCAGCTTATTTGCATTACAAAATTATAGGAATAATATAAGCAGGATGAATGTGTATGCTGTATCAAAAATTAACTGCGCACATTTTCTCTGATCTTTCCCTAGCTGAAAAAACCACCTATACATTTTAATACACTTAAATAAATCTGGAGCTGCTCACTATAACATTAACCTTCAATAGTAATGAACATGACACAAGACTGAACAGAAAATAGAGCCTGACAAAACAAATGGAACAGAAAATCAAGGTAATTAAACCATTATAGACTTAATTTATTCAAGTATGATGGCCTTTATAAGTGTAATGGATTTAGGCACCTGCAAGCTTTCTGGGGATATATCTATATACTACTAAAACTCTTGTGTCTGTAACCTTCAACTGGGCAAAATGGTGTGTCATAGGGCAACACTTTTTGAACCAAAGTAACTCAAATGGACAAACAGAGGGAGGATAGAGGGAGGGAGGGAAGGAAG